CATTCCCCAATTGATGGACATCCCTTCAATTGTTAATGCTTAGCCATCAGAAAAAGAGCTGCCATAAATATTTTTGTACAAATAGGTTCTTTTTCCCTTTTTTTGGATGTCTTTGGAATATAGACCTAGCAGTGGTATTGCTGGAACAAAGGATGTACACAGATTTATAGTTCTTTGAGCATAGTTCCAAATTGCTCTCCAGAATGGTTGGATCAGTTCACAACTGCACCAACAATGCATTAGTGTCCCAGTTTTCCCATATTGCCTCCAACATCCAACATTTTCCTTTTTTGTCATTTTAGCCAATCTGATAGGTATGAGGTGGTTCCTCAGAGATGTTTTAATTTGCATTTCCCTAATCAATAACAATTTAGAGCATTTTTTCATATGACTACAGAGAGCTTTGATTTCTTTGTCTAAAAGCTGCCTGTTCATATCCTTTGGCCATTTATGAATTGGAGTATGACTTGTATTTTTATAGATTTGACTCAGTTCTCTAAATATTTGAGAAATTAAGCCTTTATCAGAGATATTTGTTTAAAAAAATCCCAGTTTTCTGCTTTTCTTATAATTTTGGCTGCATTGGTTTTGTTTGTATGAAACATTTTTAATTTTATATAATAAAAATTAGCTATTTTACATTTTGTTGTGTTCTCTATATCTTCTTGGGTCCTCAATTCTTCCCTTATCCATAAATCTGACAGATAAACTATACCATGCTCTCTTAATTTGCTTTATGGTATCATTGTTCATGTGTAAATCACATGAATTGGATTTAAATGAGGGAGGGCTTGCAAAGTCACTAGCCTCACTTTCACTTCCAGCGTCATCTGGGTCCAGGGGCCAGTTATGAATCAGGACAACTGGATATGTTCCAGGTTGCAGTGGGAGACCTTGGACTTTTCAAGCTGAGGTCTTTAACAGGACTCAGTTAGACTGAGGCCGGGCCCATTCAGTGATTAAGGCTTAATAAAATGAGCCTAAGTATTATATTCCTTCTTGCCCCTGCCAAGTCTCCACAGCATGGCTGGGTCTGGTATGGTTCCCTCCATCTTCTCTGACTCAGAAGCCCAACTCCTCTCACTGTCCTGGGGGGAAAACTTCCTGTGGCTGGGGCTGAGGCAGTCTTCAAATTTAGCTAACCCCAGGGCTTTCCCTTAGTTATTTAAACAGATTTAGGACCTAGCCTGGAGGTGTTCACTCTTCACAGAGACAAAAGCTAGTCCTGGTATTTTTGTTCAGATCTTCTCTGATTGTCCCAGGATGACCCTTGCTCTAGCCCTACTCTTCTTTATTTTTAGCACTCTATATTCACCCTGAGGAGCTATTTCATCTCTTTTGGGGGTAGAAATCTTGAGAGCTTGGATTTTTTTTTAATTTACTCTGCCATCTTCCCAGAATCCTCTCCTATAGCTAACATTTCTAGTACATTATTAACTAATAGAAGCAATAATGGGCATCTTTAATTTACCCCTGATTGTATTGGGAAGGTTTCAAGCTTGTCCCCATCATAGATAATGCTTACTGATGGTTTCTGATAAAGATTACTTATCATTTTAAGGTAAGATCCATTTATTCCTATACTCTCTAGTTTTTTTTTTAATAGGAATGGGTGTATATTTTGTCAAAAGCTTTTTCTGCGTCTAGTGAGGTAATCATATTACTTCTGTTGGTTTTGTTATTGAAATGGTCAATTATTGTTAATAGTTTTCCTTATATTGAACCAGCCCTGCATTCCTGGTATAAATCCTACCTGGTCATAGTGTATGATACTTGTGATATATTGCTGTAATTTCTTTGCTATTTGAAAGGTTTACATCAATATTCATTAGGGAAATTGGTCTATAATATTCTTTCTTTGTGTTGGCTCTTCCTGGTTTAGATATCAGCACCACATTTGTGTAGTAAAAATAATTCAGTAGGACTCCTTTACCTATTTTTTTTCCAAATCATTTATATAACATTGGGATTAATTGTTCTTTAAATATTTAGTAGAATTCACTTGTGAATCCATCTAGTCCTGGAGATTTTTTTCTTCAGAGGTTCATTGATGGTTTAATTGATTTCTTTTTTTTAAGATTGGGTTATTTCAGTGTTTTATTTCTTCTTCTGTTAATCTGGGCAATTTACATTTTTGTAGATATTAATGTATTTCATTTAGATTGCCAAATTTATTGCATATAATTGGGCAAAATAGTTCCTAACAATTGTCTTAATTTCCTCTTCATCTGTGTTGAATTCACCCCTCTCATTTTGATACTAGTAATTTGGTTTTCTTCTTTCCTTTTTTAAATCAAATTAACCAATGGTTTATCTAATTTTTTGGTTTTTTCTGCATAAAGTCAGCTTCTAGTTTTATTTATTAATTCAATTTTATTAATCTCTCCAATTCATTGATCTGCTTTTTCTTTATTTTATTGATGTAAACAATTAGAGATATAAATTTTCCCCTAAGTACCACTTTGACTGCATCCCATAAATTTTGTTATGTTTTCTCATTGTTGACATTTTCTTACATGAAATCATCCAGTGTTTCTATGATTTGTTCTTTGACCCGCTTGTTTTTAGGATTAGATTATTTAATTTCCAATTAATTTTTAACCTCTCTTTTCATTGTCCATTATGGAATGGAATGTTTAATGCATTATGATCTGAGAAGAATGCTTTGCTATTTCTGCTTTTCTGCATTTGGTTTTTAGGTTCCAATGCATTGTTACTTTTTGTGTAGGTGTCACGTACTGCTGAGAAAATAGTATATTCCTCTCTGTTCCCATTCAATTTTCTCTAGAGATCTATGATATCTAACTTTTTTAGAACTCTATTCACCTCCTTAACTTCTTTCTTGTTTATTTGTTGGTTGGATTTATCTCATCCTGATAGGGAAAAGTTGAGGTTTCCCCCCCAGTATAGTTTTGTTATTTATTTCCTCCTGTAACTCATCCAACTTCTTCAAAATTTAGATGCTACATGATTTGGTACATATATACTTAGTATAGATATGACTTCATTGTCTATGGTAACTTTCAGCAAGATATAGTTTCCTCCCTTATCTCTTTTAATTAGATCTATTTTTGCTTTTTCTTTGTCTGAGATCATGATTGCTACCCTTGCTTCCTTTGCTTCAGCCAAAGCATAATAGATTCTGCTCTAGTCCCTTACCCTTACCCTGTGTATATCTCTCTGTTTAAAATGTGCTTAGAATATAGCACAAACTCTTCCTTTCTAATTCTTGGAATCCTTTGTTTCCTTTACAACATGTACTTTCCCCTAATTTCCCCAGAAACTAGTGATGTCCCATCCACAGATTACCTTGTGTTTATATATATGTATATGTATATACATACACACACACACAAGCACACACACACAAGCACACACACACAAGTGTGTGTGTGTGTGTATTTATATATATTAATATGCATATGTCTCCTTGGGAAGACTAGAAGCCCCTTGAAGACAGGAAATGCTTTATTTTATTTTTCTTTGTATACCCAGCATCAAAGCACATAGTGAGCATTTAAGGAAGTGACTGTTTATTGTTTGAGTAACCAGGAGCTGGGTCTTCTCTTATATTTTTCTGCATTTGGGGTATCAACTCTCTATTAGCCATTTTAATTCTGTTCTTTCTAATTCAAAGAGTATTCTTCTCACTAAAGAAAATAGAAGCAAAATGAGTTGAATAGTTCTGCCTTCTCCCTATGCATTGTCATTGTGCCATCCCCCTCGACCACTAAGCCAGTTCCTCTTTGACTCCACACTTTTATATAGAATATAATTTGAAAAAATAATAACATGTCTATTTCCATTCCTTGCAAGCTTCAGCTCATTTTGAGCTTTATGAATTTCTCTTCTCTCTCAGCCTTCATCCTTTTCACCCTTCTATTTGAACATCTGTAGCTTCCCCTCACTTTCACACACAGCTAGCCTACATCACATTCCTATAGGGGCTTCTTCTCATCTGTTTCAGTTAGAAAACAACTGATAAACTTATTCTCCTGAAGGTGTTCGCTGATAAGGGATTAAAGTGTGAGCCATCCCAAGGATATCTTGACATTAACAAGGGAATCATAAAAATGGAAAAGCTCTTAATCCTCAAGGACTGGAGCTCTAACATTGTAATTGCAGTCCCCATGAATGGTAGATGAAAGAATATATGTGCACGTGTATATACATACAAATATACATACATCCATATTCAGGTGTGTATATGTATATACACACATGTATACATATGCATGTATATGTACACATGTATGGTCCACCTATATAGTCTTATACCTACATATGTAGGCATGTATAACATACATGGTTGCGAAACTAAAAGTAGCATCAGATATATGAGCCTACTGGGTCGGTACCAAGTATTAGTCGCTTTGAATATTGCCTATATACTGGGCAATTAATGCAATTTTAAACTATCAGAGCCTAAAACTGCACTAAGACTTTTGGAATACTGTATATGTATGTGTGTGTGTGTGTGTGTGTGTGTGTGTGTGTGTATGTGTGTGTGTACACGGGCATACATGATATATGAGGGTGGGATGGTAATTTAGGCATCTTCCTCATCATATTATGTAGGCATCTAGCTACTTCACCAGTGCCTAAGCCTGGGTCTGGTGGTGAACTTCTCAAGAAAAGAGCTCCTAAATGTAGGCTTTATCCACAGTGATTAATACCAAGCAAGCAGCCTCAGGGATGTGATGTAAATTTCAGTTGCATGACAATGTTCTGTCCAATGTTTCAGTCCTTCATGTAATGACCTTGTTACTTATTTTATTTAAGTCTGTTTCCTTTGCATCACTCCTCTTTAACTCCAAAGGCATTTCCTGCCCAAAAGGGCTCAGAGAGATATAATAACATGGTGATACCTTGTAGAGCACTGTGTCAATTTAATTTGAACCAATTTGACAAGTCTGATACACTTTCAGGACGGGAGCCCACCAGGAGACAACACAACGCTCCTCTTGTTAAGGCTCCTACCCTCTTTCTTTCTCCTACAGGTAATTACCCCAGATCAAGAGACCGATTGTAAACACGTTACGTTTTGCTGACAACACAAAGCTAGAGAGAAGTAGGAACTCTGGTTTAAGAGGCAAGGAAAATTCAACAAGATGTGCTCGCTCCCAGAGCTGTTATGCAGCAAACGAAATTCAGTATTGACAAATACCCACTAATGCCATTGGCCAAGGTAAGGCTAAGAGGGAAAAGTGCTGACCTGCAAGAGGAAATTTTTTTCTAGAGGGGTTTTTGGGCCATTGTTCTGAAAACTTGCAGAGAGAATCATTAAAGCCCAAAGCCTCAGGGAGTTGTCTTTTTATTTTAAAATAATGTATCTGCTGGGGAAGATTTTTTTTCTATACAACACCTGCCCACATCTACTGTCCAATGCTCTTGCCAACTGAAGTATATCTTAAAGGCAAATTCCAAAGATATGCTCTCACAACGATTACATCCTGTAGTGAAATAAATATTTTCTTTAAAAAAAATGAGAGTGCTTGATTTAAATCCCCATGTGGCAGATGTGTTTAGAGAAAAATCTGCCTTAGTGAGCATAGAATAACCCCATCTTTGATTAAGGCTCATTACCTCTTTCAAATGATTTTTTTAGATGTCTCAGAGAATATTCTTTGACTTTATTATATGGATCCATGATTTTCATGCAAAATAAAGATTTCCTTGGAATTCTAGCATGATCGTGGGAAATATCTTTTGAAGATCTAGAAAAAAATAGACAATTGTAAATCTTTTTTTTCTTCTGCCAATACAAGCAAAAATGTATTGAAGTTGTCATTTTTTGTTTGTTTGTTTGTTTTGGTTTTTTGTATAGTACACCCTGTGGGGGAGACAAGAAGCACAAGAGGCAGTGCCCGTTCTAAAGCAACTTACTATGTCTTTGGGAACACAAGATGAACGCTTGTAAAGTGAAACAATATTACAAGAAATAAAGAACACAATAGTATCCAGAGTTCACAACCATGGAATCATTCCCACTTCTTCACTATCTCTCACTCGACTTATCCAGCCAGTTGCCAAGTCTTGTAGTTTCTACCTCCATAACAGTTCTGATGTTTTAGCCCCTTTCCTCATTCTCAGTGTCATCACCCTGGTGAAGGGCAGTGCTCATCATTCCTCAGCTGGACTACCTCCCTATCTTGAGGCTCCCCCTTCTCATGTTCTGAAAGCACATTTCTTACCATGTCCAGTCAAGTCCAATGCTCAAACACCAGTCCTAACTCCTTCTTGCTTCTAGGGTAAAATGAAAAACAAAACAAGAAAAGCTCCTCTCTTAGACATTTAAAGGGCTTCTTAATCTGGCACCCATCTACCCTTTTAGCCTTATTATTACATGTTACTCCCTTTCATGCAGTCTACATACTAGAGTAACTGGTTACATGCTCCTCTAAATCTACAACCATGCACCTTCTATATTTATTAAAGCTGCCTCAGAGCCTATCTGTTTCTTGCAAAGGGCAAGGAAGCATGGGTAGCACTGGTCCATTCACTCACTATTAAAAGGAAGCCATGCATAGATGTGTGCCTTTAAGAGGCAATGGGTCTTATGCTCCCATCTCTTCTTGAGTTTAGTTTTTGTGTGTAGATAGATAGATAGATAGATAGATAGATAGATAGAGAGATAGAGAGATAGAGAGATGTGTGTGTATGTATATATGTGTATATATATACATTACATATGTGTATACATAATGTATATATGTGTATATATATACATTACATATGTGTATACATATATATACATATATACAGGCATATATGTGTATATATGTGTGTATTCTTGTCTTACAGTTCATGAATTAAAGTTCTTCTGTCTCTTCATCTTTTTTCATCTATATCCCTAGATTCTCTAACTCTTTGGTGACTTTGGTGTTTCCACAATTACTGGTTTTTATTCTAAATCAATATTTTAGCCTTGTTATTCTTTGGCATCAGATTGAGATTTTACCATTTTACCTGGTAGCCAGGTGCCACACTGGGATTGGAGTGTGAGTTCAAATCTTTCCTTAAACATGAGCTGGGTATCCCTGGGCAAATCATATCACCTCTGCTGGCCTCAGTTTCCTCAAGTACAAAAATGGAGATGATATTAACACCTACCCCCCCCCCCCAGGGCTGTTGTGTGAATCAAATGAGATTTTCTTTTTGTAAAGCACTTACTTAGCCCAGAGCCTGGCATGTACTGGTCCTTTACAAATGTTTGGTTCCTTCTTTTCTTTTCTTGCTTTTCACCATCAATAAGGTCTTGAAGCTGTTAGAGCTGGCCATTAATCACTGTCTTTTGATCATTTAGTGGTAGGTTGGAATTCCATCTAACACAAGATAGGTACATGAGAGGTATTCTGATTCCACAGGTGTAGAGACCTACTAGGGAGAAATTTCCTCTACCAATACAAGTCTGTTCTTTCTTTATAACCCCTAGTCTTAGAGAGTTGCCTAGGGCAGAGGTGTCAGACTCACAGGCTGACAAAACTCCTGAGTCAGGCTCAACCAGATTAAAATGTAATTGGGATATATTTGACATAATAAATAAAAATATAATAGAACATAGATAACCTGAATTTGTGGATTTCTAAGTCATTATGCAGCCTGTTTCTAGGGATCTGTCTTGATTTGAGTTTGGTCAAAATCAGATAGAAATAGAAGACACTAAACAGTATATAAGGATCCCTGTGGGTCACAGATTTACTTAGAAAACCAAATATATTAAGATTACATATGTTCTCTTGTATTTTTACTTATTTTGTTAAATATTTCCCAATTACATTTTAATCTGGTTCCAGCCTGTCCACTGCGTGTCACCTCTGGCCCAGAGTAATGAGAAGTTAAAAGACTTGACCAGAGACAAACAAACAATCTGTGTCAAAGGCAAGACCTGAACCCAGGTTTTCCTAATTACAACAGCAGGATTGTACCCATTACACCACACCTGTACTGCAAATATGTGCAATGGACCAGAAGTGCCACAGGAACTCACTTTGGGATGGAAGGGTCTGCTAAACACACATGGAGGAGAAAGTTTGCAAACTTAGCCTTGAAGGATAGGTAGGATTTTTTTTTAATCTGAGTTCAATTATAGAAAGGTAGACTTAATATTCAAGTCTGCACTTCATTAACATTGGTTTCCTTGCCTTTAAGAGCCCTGCAAATTATATCCAGGTGAATTTTTCTAAAATAGTACTTTGTACAACTTTCAAGAACATATAGTGGCTCCTTGTGATGTCATGAGTTATGCCTACTCCATAACTTCAATATTTTCAACCAAGGCCCAGATCACTGGTTCCCCTGATAGCTTTATGCTACAACCCTTACTTCTTACTTAATTGGGTCCCCAAACTTCACAGGCAACTAGGTGGTGCCATAGTCCATAGAGGGTCTGGCCTGAAGTCAAGAAGACCTGAGAGCCAACCTCAGATACTTACTAGCTGTGTGACCTTGGCCAAATCACTTAACCCTATTTGCCGCAATTTTCTCATCTGTAAAATTAGCTGGAGACAGAAACGGCAAACCACTCCACTACCTTTGTCCAAAACAAAACAAAACACAAAACACCAAATGGGGTCACAAAGAGTTGGACACAATTGAAAAATGACTGAACAACAGATTTCCCAAATTTTTTGTGGGGAGAAAACCACATGATTTCCTTTCCCCTTACTCTTTCCCTTTCTCCATGGTAATAACAAATCTTTAATATTCTAAATGGGTTTACTATGCAGCATTATATGAGAACATAAAACAAGGGAAGCTGGGAAGCAGAAAAAATGAAAGAATGAGAAGGTCCATAGTCCAAAATCTACAAATATTTGCATCATTGCTTTGGTTGATCATCATTTACAGAACATCTGTCATTCTCCATAACTTTCTCCAGCTACTATGGTCTCAGTGTTGCTTGGAATCAACTAAGCTTTAGTGTCCTGGGCATGCTGGTGAGGGCTGTTCTTTGAAATTTCTCCAAATCTGTTGTCCTACTTTTTTGTTTGTTTGTCTGTTTGTTTTTTGGGTTGATTATCCCTCCCACTGCCCAGATAGGGCAAAGTATAGAATAAACTAATGGTAATAATAACAATAATAATAAGCAATTATATTAATATTTAAGGTTTAATCTCTTCACAAATATTTCATTTTATCCTTTCAACAATTCTGAGAGGTAGGTACTGTTGTGAACCCCATTCTACAGATAAAGCAACAGAGGTAGACAGACATTAAGTGACTTACTCAGGGTCACACAGCTAATAAGCTTCTGAGGCCACATTTGAACTCAAGTCTTCCAGACTCTAAGTTCATTGCTCTATCCACTGTGGCACCTAGCTGGCATGAATGTATCAGTCAATCAATGTTTGCTACCATTAGGCAGAAATGCTTGAAATTCCTCTTTGTGTATAAATGGAAAAGTGTGCACATAAGGTAAAAAGAATGTTTTTACTTCAAATTTCTAGATAACTAAGCAAAAAGACACAATACAGGTCATTAACCAAACAGAGAAATGGGTCACAAATCTGAGAAAGGCTCTTCCAAAGCCTTTAGACTGGTGTCTTCCACTTCAGATCAGGAGCACAAACAAAGCTTTTCTGAGAACTAATCCTGTTGTCACTGTCTGCCTATCAAAAAAGTCATTGACTTTTTCAGAAAATCTCTCCAGCATGGCCTCACTCTCTGTCCACCTCCATCCCACCAGAACCTCAGATTTCAATCCTGGACCCCAATCTGCCCACCCCTACTTGTGAGCATTTTACCTCATCTAGCATAAAACCAGTTCATCATTTCACTTGCTGTAATCTCCTTAACATTCTTCTTTGAGGTACTGTCTCCTCCTTTCTGACACCCCTTCATTTGTTATCTTCTCCCACAGACCGTAAGCTCCTCAAGGAGAGGGGCTCTCTTGTTTGCTTTTAATAGCTGTCTCCAGTACTTAGCACAATGCATGGAACATAATAACTTAATAAATGTTCTATCCACCTCTATTTGATCTATCTATCTATCTATCCATCTATCTATCTCCAATGGAGAGGTCCTCTAGTTCTAGTGAAGAAACTGAAGTCCAAAGAGAAACATATTGGCTAAGGTCACATAGTTAGCAGCCAAAGAGGGACTGAAATTCCCTTACCCTCCTCCTCATACCACTTTGAACCATAATTTTGTAATCTTGTTTAAACGACAATTATCAATCACAAGCCC